TGTGTTTTATATCCTCACGCACACCTCATGTCACGTCCCTTGCTCGTCGTGTTGCTATGGATGCAGTGGGTTGCGTAAACCATTGTGTAAGGTTAGAAGAACTAAAACACTCGAAGGAGTAACACAGTTTCTCAAAACACAAAATCTTGCACGAGCATGGAAACTTGTAGTAGCGGGTACCAGAGCACCAAATGTTCAGGGCTGCAGGTGATGACCACGTCAGAAATGATTCTGCTCTGCGTGTCCTCCAACATAGTGGTTGGGTAGGGCTGGGATCTTTGCGGATGTCTCGGCGGATGTCTCGTTGCCTCCGCACAGAACAAAAGGTCATGAGTTGGCGTCAAGTCCGAGGACTTCAGAGATCGAGGGACCTCTCGGGCTCGGACGCGTCAGGATGAGAGGGTTGAGGACCAGTTGCAGCTTCAGTGCCTCAAAAATGAGTTTCTGGGTGGTATTTTGGAAGCAATTCGTCCTCATTTGGAGCAGGCTCCTCCCTTTCCAGAATCTGCTGGATGCTTGTTGTAGTATAAATTTTGATCGTTGAATCAGCTGAAGGCATTGGCATTGGTCTCGGATCCGGACTAGCGATGGAAGGAGAAACGGTCACCCTCGTCTACGAAAAGGTGAGTAATGACGACTGATCATCCGTTTAAGGTCTAACGCTGCAAAGAACCCTACATGCATGCTCATACTGATTCTATCTGTCGTTGCATCCAGGAAACGAACAAAGTGCTATACATGGAGGCAGGAAAGGGATTTGTGGATTGCCTAATCGCAATACTTCGCCTGTCGATGTCGAGTGTGGTGAAACTGCTGACTCAGCAGGAAATCCCCATCACGCGCAGTATTCAAGGGGCCGGAATTGTCAGCATATATGGAAGCGTTGGTCAACTGCCAGGATCCTGCTTGGATGTTGAGAAGCACACGCTTTTTCATCAGCTTCCGGGAGAGGGGAGGCCCCACTTTCGAGTTTTACGTTGCTATTTCGTCTGTCCTTCACGCCATAACAACGATGTCTCAATGGAAAAAGATTCTGTGTGCACATCGAGTCCTGCAGTGTGCCGGATGTCGCAGAGCCTGGAGCCTCTTTATGAGTGCGACAACAAGAACTTAGCCTTTTTTACGTGCCAGGAGAGGCATTTTTTCACAAGCTCGTACAGAGTCTGCCCCACTTGTGATACTTCGATGGATCAGGAGCTTTACTTGCAGAAGGGTATGGGCTACGTGAAAAGCAACGAGGAGTTCATTATCACCAACAACCTGACATTTTTCCCAAGCAGTTCCGTAAAAACTGCTGATGTGCTGGTTGGGTGTGGCCTCATTCTTCCAGCCAACTTAAATCGGCTGACAACAGTAGTTACCGAAAGACAGATGAGAGCATGCTTAAAAATTTGATGAAGGTGTTTTATTTGTTCCTGTTTGGTCCTCAAATCCGACATTGTTCGTTGTGCCTGCACCAGATGTTAGAACTCGTATGTACATCGTTGTCATCGTCAACAGCTCTGACAGATGTGTTCTGCAGCGTAATTACACAGCTCCAGCATCGTGATGTTGGGACACTGTTCTATCATACCAAAAAACGTGCTCACTATTGATTATACTGCATACATGATAGACTAAAGTGCGTTTACAAATGCGTTTGAGGTATACTTCACAAATGCGACAATCAGCACATAGAAATATCGGTCGTAGCCACGAGCGTGTGCCAAACAAGAAATACCAGTTGAATTCTTTCCCTCGTCCTCAAAATACACTGCTCGTGAGGTATATTCCGTGTTTTTTCCTGCAAACAAGAGATGAACAGAATGTTGCATGAGCTCAAGAGGGGTGAACGAGAAAGACATTCCGCCTCAGTTGATTACACCCAATGACAAAATATTGCAAGAGAAAAAATCACACTGCTCCACAAATCAGGTGCAGCATGGAGTGAGCTTGCTTTGAAACATGCAGTACATACTACCCAGCATTGGAAAAAATGAATCCATGCAGCGACACAAAACTTGCAGAGGTAATAATCCACCGTGCTCAGACTACAACAAAGAGGATTATCAGCATTGAGCCTTGACGCCCAAAGGCAACGAGACTCTAGTTGTAGAGGTGTCAGAATCTCTGAATCACATCACTGCACGGCCATAGCCCGGAACAACGAGGTTGCAGAAGAGAATCGCCCAGAATGAAAAGGGGAAACAGTAGAGGGCAGAGAAGCTACTGACCAATGGCGCACGTCAGAAGGCTGAATGATTGTCATGGTTGACCATCAGTGTCAACCAGCCATCACGTTTCACAACATGGTGCCACAGTTATGACTCCGAAACCTGCAATCAGGGTGAAAACGGTGACGCATCCAAAGCGGGTCACAGGTTGGTAAGTGATGGGCAGAGAATGATGCGCAGAACCACGGATCCTCGCACAGAAATTAAGGTGTAGCATCCAGCATATGCGCAGAGGCGAAGAAATCGCCACAACGTCTAAAGAGATGCAATGACCACGCAGGTTTACACCTTGCCATGGCATGTTCATGTGGCCCTCCAATCATACCCTGGACATGTGGACTGCACGAACGGCTCACATCCAGGGCTCAGAGGAGGGCAAAGAACGCAGTGACAGAATCATCGCACAAGTAGCAATAGTAACCAAAATGTAGAACCATCTCCAACATTCGTAAAACATTGATTCATTATCCCAATGACAAGACGCACTGAACATCACAACAGAAACACAAAGTAAAAAGCTACGAAAGCGGCAGCTAAAACATAAAATTGGTGGCTCAGACATGGCAGATTTAGTTTAGGTTCGATTCCGCCGGAGATTCCTCATGCTTTTCAGTAGAGGGAGTCCGTATTTCATCATCGCCACCATCCAGTTGCCGTGATTAGATAACAAAAGCCTCAAGCCTCCATCGTCAGGTAAGAGGAAAGAGGGCTTACAACTTCCGTCCACATCGTCAATGTGGTAATCCTCCATTGCAAGGTTGCAGCATTTGTCATTCCATCCTTCGTTTCTGACGATACCCTCTTGAGTATGTGTAGCGCGGAACGGGTCTGGAATTGAACCTGCACAATAGTGAACACGGAACTGCACGGGTGAGCGTAGTGCCAAAAGTTGACCTTGCATTACATCCCAGGAACTTGTATTGTCAGAAACGCGGTAACCTGGCAGTGCAAGGAAAATTCACGCCAAGCCTTATGCTCCTTGTCCATCTTGCTACAAATAATGGGGAGAAACGTCATTAATTAGGGCGTTCCTCCACTCCTAAGTAGCGAACTTGAGTGACAACTAGACCACATTTAAACAAAATGGGGAGATGGATGTGTCAGCTGGAGAAAGGTGTAATAGCTTCAACCGCCCGAAGGCGTCAGAAGGAATCCGACTGAAGGAAAAGTTTTCATCATCCACATTACCATCATTAAAAGCACGAGAGAAATACTAAGCAAAAAAAATATAATAAGAAGGGCTCTTGTGATCGATGTGTCGGCGAGAAAGGTTGAGTAGCTTCAGCCACCCGAGGGTGTCAGAAGGAATCCGACTGAGGAAATGGTTATCATCATCCACATCATCATCACTCCTATGAGTGTACAGAACAAATGGTTATCACGTCAACTCAGCCATCCAAGGAAGGAAAAAGCCACATCAGCTCTCAAGCCCCGGCAGGGCGAAAGCTTTCAGTCGGCCACTGCGAGAATGTTTCGAGAAACGAAGCCATATGTGTGCTTTCATCATCGTTGACAGATAAATATCGGCAACAATTGAAAGAGAGATCACGTTTCACAAATAGACAAGACCAATGAGACTTTGAGAGCGGAAGATTTCAAAAGGGCCAGACATAAAGCTGACTAAGATTAGGTTAGACATGAAGGAATATTTTACTGATTCAAATTTCGAGTCAACTCAGCCATCCAAGGAAGGAAAAAGCCACATCAGCTCTCAAGCCCCGGCAGGGGCGAAAGCTTTCAGTCGGCCACTGCGAATGTTTCGAGAAACGAAGCCATATGTGTGCTTTCATCATCGTTGACTCTCTATCCATAGAGACCGGCATCCTTTACAAAATCGTCGATGAAAGAAACAAGGATAAAAAGCGAGAATGTCAACCACAATAGATGCATACCTTGTTCAGGTTCAAGTAGGAAAGAGCCTCGGCAACGATCGTATGCCAGAAGAGGAACGCCGACAACTGAGCCAGTCACAGCCGAGCAGATGGCAAGAAGCATTGTTGCTCGCGCTCATATCATTCGTCAGGTTTGAGGGATCCGACGCAGCGACTGATCGCCAATGCAGCTCATCGCGTAAGATCGCCAGGTACGTCGCGCCGCCATGGTAAGCCCCCCGAAGTTGCCCTGAAAATAGAAGGCAAAAGTAAGCCGTGAACAGGAACGTCGAGCAGCTGGAGTCTATCTGTTAACCATAAAGCAGCAGGGAATACCCCTCCCCTCTAAATAGCTCAAGGATGGAAACTGTGTTGTTGATGCCAAGCGGATTGCTGCTGTATGTTCCATTCCAAGCGAGATCTCCTTTCCGTCACTCCTTCAAAAGGTTGAATCCTGTCGGCGATAAATCTAGAAGGTTGAAAATTGTTGCAGGCTTTTCGTGCTCCCCGTGCCTGCTGTAATGTTCCAGAAGCGCGAGAATATTGGCCAGCGGCTGGGGTTTACAGAGAACAGATGGTGGTGAGCCACAATTATGTCGCTCCAGTTGTAAAGGCTGGACTGTACAAAATTAGTGGTACATGTGAAATTCGACCCTTTCCTAAAGTAGTGGTATAGGCCACCACACGTGCATTGGTTTTCCAGCTATTCCAATATTACGTCATGGGAAAATGAATTACCTGTGATTATGCTAAACTATAACATCACATTTGATGATCATGAACATTAGTGCAACACGAACCCGACATTTGCACCTAAACTTCATTTCTCTATAGGGCTACTCCTCGTGAGACTCCTCGTGAGACTTCACCTGAACCCTAGAGCTACTCCTCGTGAGACTTCGATTGGATCCCTTGATTAATCACCTAAACTACATTTCTCTATAGTAACAGCTACACCAGTAGCATCTGCATGCACCTCCCTCTTCCTTTCCCTTATCACCTTTGCTCCCTCTTCCCCTACCACCTCACCCTCACTACTCTCTCCCACCACACACAACAGTGCAGCTATATCTTTTTCCATCTCCCCAATCGCCTCATGCAACTTACTCACACTCATCCCCCCCTTCCATACACCCTTCTTCCCCATCTCGCCTCCACTCCCCACCTTCCCTTCACCAGCAGCATCGGCAGCAACAGCAACACCCACACCCCCCAAATCCCCGGCTTGGATTCTTTCAGAAGTTTCTGTTCCTGGTGGCAGTGGCAACGGCAGCTGTGACTTCAAATCTCTCGCCCGACCCAGCAGCTGCTGTGCTCGCATGCGAATGGTGCCGGGCTCTTGAGGCGGGAAGAGAGACGCACCAATCTCGTCCACATCTTCGCTTGCTCCCATGCACACACGCAGAACCGACTCCAAGATACCGCTGCTGCTATTTCCGCTGCTATTGCTGCTGCTATTCAAGCCCTTGGGGGCACTGCTGCTTGTGCCAACGGCAGCTGCAAGCCCTGCCTTACTGGTCTTCTCTTCCTGCTTTTGCTGTTGGTTTTTCTCATCTTGTATTTGTGATTTCTCTAGCATCTGCTGCTGCTCCTGCTGCTGTCCCCAGGAGTCCTGGTGCTGCTGCCAAGACGCCACAAGGTAAATCAAACACCGAATCACCCCTTCTGCTGCCACAGACACTCGCAAACCACTCTGTGCCAACTCCCTCTCCTCCTCTCCCAAACTCACCTCCTCTTCCTCCTCATCCTCATCCTCATCCTCATCACCGTCACCGCCATCCTCCTCCCTGGCCTCATCACAAACACCCTCCCTCTTGATCTCCACAGTTTTTCCTTGAACCCCTTGGCCTTCCTCAGCCTTTCTCTCTTCCCCGACATCCCCCTTCTCCTCTCCTTTCTCCTCCCCCACAGCACCGCTCTGAACCCCTTCTCTTCCTACCATCTCCCTTACCTCCCTCGCAACGTCTTTCATCGACGCAGCAACGGTCACCAGTACACGACCCACGGCCGCCTCGTTGCTTACTGGAAGCTTCTTCAGTGCTGCGTATGCTGACTGCAGCACACCCACCTGCCTGGGGAGCAGCTGAGCTCGCTGAGTGGCTGTGCGGCGACAAGGGGAGCGGGGGGGGAGAAAGGATAGATTAGAAACGAAGCGAAATGAGTGACTAGACTTCATCTTGTAGGGATCTTCAGTGCTGCGTATGCTGACTGCACCACGCCCACCTGCCTGGGGAGCAGCTGAGCTCGCTGAGTGGCTGTGCGGCGGCACGAGGTGGGGGCAGGAAGGATTGAATAGAAAAGAAGCGAAATGAGTGACTAGAATTCATATTGTAGGCTTCTCAGTGCTGTGTATGCTGACTGCAGCACACCCGCCTGCCTGGGGAGCAGCTGAGCTCGCTGATTGGCTGCAGGGAAAAAAGGGGGAGAAAGGGATGGTTAAATAGCGTCATGCGTAACTAGAAGGAAAAACAGTTAGAAGTCCTCATATTGTAAGCGTCATGCGTAACTAGACACTGCTTCATTGATACACTGTAACATGCTGATGACACTCGTGCAATCAAATCAAATCAAATCACTGCCCACGTCAGCAAAACAGCTTCATACCATTAGTCGTGGTCAGAGCAGTGTCTAGCAGAGCAGTTGCAGCTGACACAACACCCTCCGCAGCTGAGCGAATGGCAGCATGCCACGTGGCAGCAGCGCCAGCACTGCAGGCGTGCAGCAGCAGCATGGATGCCACAAACGAGTCGTGGAAATCAGAGAGCAGCGGGGCGGCTTCTGCTGCCTTGGGGGGAGAGGACGCTGCCCAGAAGATTGCCACTGCGGGGTACGTGGCGGGAGAGAAGGAAGGGGGGGGAGCGGGGTTTGACAGCTTTTGAGTCAACTCAAAAGACACTGCCTTTGGGGGAAAGGAAGCCTCCCAGAAGATTGCAACTGAGGGAGGGGTGGTTGTGGCAGAAAGGGGTATGTTGGGGAGAGAAGTGGAAGAGGAGAGTCGGAGTAGTTATGAGACGGCTCAAAACTCAGGAATTTGAGAGGAATGGGATGGCTTCTGCTGCCTTTGGGAGGGAGGGCGCTAACCAGAAGATAGCAACTGAGGGAGGGATGGTTGTGGAAGACAGGGGTACGTTGGGAAGAGAAAATGGGGTGAAGGGTGGAGGTCACAGACAGGTCGTGGAAATCCGAGAGCAGTAGGGCGGCTTCTGCTGCCTTTGGGAGGGAGGGCGCTGCCCAGAAGATTGCCACTGAGGGAGGGATGGTTTTGGAAGACAGGGGTACGTTGGGAAGAGAAAATGGGGTGAAGGGTGGAGGTCACAGACAGGTGGTGGAAATCCGAGAGCAGTAGGGCGGCTTCTGCTGCCTTTGGGAGGGAGGGCGCTGCCCAGAAGATTGCCACTGAGGGAGGGATGGTTTTGGAAGACAGGGGTACGTTGGGAAGAGAAAATGGGGTGAAGGGTGGAGGTCACAGACAGGTCGTGGAAATCCGAGAGCAGTAGGGCGGCTTCTGCTGCCTTTGGGAGGGAGGGCGCTGCCCAGAAGATTGCCACTGAGGGAGGGATGGTTTTGGAAGTAAGGGGTGCGTGGCAGAGCGAAGGAGTGGGGGGGGGGCGCAGGGAGGAAGGGGGGGAAGAGGGGAAATAGGAAATTAGATATTGTGTGTCAGGAACGGATGGAAAAAGGGGGAAAAAAAGGGGGCATAAAGGACAAGGGCAGAACCTGTGGCGGTGAGAAGAAAGGCAGAAATGACTGTGATGAGAATCTAATGGCATGCATGTATATTTAAATTTAAAATTCAAGAGCTTGACAAAAACCCCTTACCTTTGACCGCTTGCTTCACAAGGCTCTCTGCTGCTTTGGCCACATCATCCCTGGTCACCTTCTTGGAAGTTTCTGGAGCTGCTTCTGAAAAGAGCTGCAGGGAGAGCGAACAGGGAACAATGAAATACGGGATACATTGGACAGAGTGGACAGCAATATGTAACCATGAAGTAACCTCTTAGTGGGAACCAATATTTTTAAAGAAATGCAGAACAAAGATCAAGGTCAACAAGAGGATAGACAGAAAGAGGGAAGGGCGAGGGATGACGAAGGAACGAAAGAGATTGAAGTCGAACGACGGAGGCAAGAGATTAGGAGCGAATGGTCAGCACGCACCAAGCAACACATGCTGGTCAATCCTCCATGGAAATAGTTCGGCGTTCTCTTGTAAGCAAGGAGGGTCAAAACATTTATTTTCAGAGTCGAGGAGTAAAAAAAGCTAGAGGAGAAACCTACCTCGAGCATCTGCGTTAGTATCTGCTCCGTAGAGTCCAGAGGAGTCACGAAGGAATCAAATCAGGTAGAGGAAAGCCTACCCCCAGCATCTGCTGAGACAACTCTTTGAATCGCAGAAACAGACCTCATGGCCTGATACCTTGAGGATCCGCTAAGGTGACTGCTTCGTAGAGTCCAGACGAGTTACGGAGGAATCATATCACATAGAGGAAAGCCTACCTCCAGCATCTGCTGAGACGACTCCTTGAATCGCTTCTGAAACGCGACGACGGACCCGCGCGGCGCCATGGGTGTCGACGCGAGCCGTACGCGATAAGCGCAGACGGATCGCTAACTGAGAAGGACAGCTGGGGAAATCGATGTGAACGGGCGAGCTATGCGACGACGACGACAACGATCGCTGCAAAAAGGCAATGGCTGTAGTTGTTCAGCAACTTTTTGGAGATGTTGGGTTTCGCTGGGATGGAACGTTCACTGAGAAAGGCAGTTAACGCGCGAACTATGCGAACCACGCTGGGTGCAAAAAAGCAACGGCTGAAATTGCTGGATTCTGTGGATGGAACGTTCACTGAGAAGCCGCGTTCACCGAGAAGGAACGTTACTGACTGCAATCACACCCAATCACTGCGAGTCGTTGTCGCGCAGCCACTACTGCTAAATCGATCCGAGACGGGTAACGGACGTGTTAGATTACGGACCGAGAGACTTGTCTGCGTGTGACTAGGCACGTCAGCGGACGAAAGGCAACAGAGGTGAAGAAATGAGTGTCGGCTCATTTCTTAGCCAAGTGGAGGGGGGATTCAGCGAGGCGAGTCATCACTCGTAATCGAGCAGTAGTGGTCAAGACTAAAACGAAACCCGAAATGAACTAAACCTGCAATTGGCACAACATGGACGTGCAAAACCCGATCCCAGAGTGAAACCGAATCAAAGAAAGATCCAACCAAGCGCGACCCCGAGGTGAGGGGAATCTGCTCTGAATGAACCGATTGAAAGAGACACGTTTGCCGATAAAACATGGCACTATCAGGAAATGCGCATATTGCTCTTAGACTTACACCCATTAAGAGAACTTCTACTAGACACAATTTAATATCACATTGAGTTTCCACTAATAGACACTGTTGCTTGTGTTAGCTTCTGGAGGTACAGTTGGTAATAAAGGCAGAATTGCACGGATCCCCCCCTTCTCCTTCTCCATTCCTCTATCACTTGCCTCAGTTTTCCTCTCCTCACTCTCATCACCTACCTCCCCTCTCCCTGTTCCCCCTTCCCCTTCTCCTCTTCCCTCACTCTCGCAAACCCCCATGCTGCTCCTCTCCTCCCCAGGTTCCAGCAACTCAGCCCCATCCGGCTCATCACCCTTCCTGCCACTCCAAAACTCTGCCCAACTCCTCCCCTGCACGGATCCCACAGGAGCAGTTGAACCAGCTGCTGAACCAACCGAGCCAGCAACATTACCAGCACCGGCAGCACCAGCAGCAGCAGGAGCAGGAGCAGCAGCAGCACCAGCAGCACCACCAGCATTAGGAGTGGAAGCAGACGCAGCAGAGGGACTAGCAGCACCAAACCAGTAGTTGTAGGTGCCGCTGCTCCACTCCTGCAGGGCGGCAACCTGGGCAGAAAAAAAAGACAACAGCTGAAAAAAAAAGCATGACACCGTTACGAACACATCAGTGTACTGCAACGTGTCTTAGCAGCGAATTAAAAACTTTTGTGCTGCAGGGCCAGTTTTTTTAGGTCTATCAAAAAAGGGAGAACAACTTTGGTACTATCATTGTTTGTTTTGTTGGTTTGTTTGTTTGTTTGTTTGTTGGTTTGCTTTTTTGTTTGTTTGTTTGTTTGTTTTTTTGCAGTCTAACTCAAAGGTTGCCTTGACGTACACTCACCTGCTGCCCAACTTGATCGTACAGCTCGGCCGCCGAATCGCCTGTCCGAGCAAACCGATTGACCCATGCTGAAAAGGACAAGAGCGGAACACAGGGCAGCGTGATAATGTCTAGAGGGGGTGGGCGTGGCTGGCTGCTCGTGATCAAGATCAAGAGACTGGACAGCAGGTGGAGAAAGGAGAGATTTCCCCAAAAAAGGACGACAAGGATGAGTGCGAGGCTCATTTGGAATGGTCCTGTTAGCACACCATGTTTTTTTACAAGCATGTTACTAATGAGGACGACAAGGAACTCGCGTATCACACGCCAGAACCCCCACCCACCCACTCACCCACCTGGAATGAACCCATGAACCCAATACCCAACATAATTCACAGCTCATCACAGAATGGTTGTCATTATTTGATATCGACTTTGCTTGTAACGAGTCACAAAACACCCACCTGGAATGGGCCCGACACCCAGTTTGACACAAAGCTCGTCGCAAAAGTGGTTACAGTTTCGCCCGAGCATGTCATACGACTCGCCGGGCCACTGCACACTCATCAACGAGTCACTCATGCGAACTCGCATATCCATAAGTCTCCACCGACCTACCCACCCACCCACCCACCCGGAATGGGCCCGACGCCCAATCTGACACAGAGCTCGTCGCAAAAGTGGTTGCAGTTTCAAACAACTCTCGAACAGGTATGCTGTAGATCTGAATTTGCAAGTAACGAGTCGACAGCACCCACCTGGGATGGGTCCAACGCCCAATCTGACACAGAGATCGTCGCAAAAGTGGTTACAGTATTGCCCGAGCATGTCATACGACTCGCCAGGCCACTGCACACTCATCTCAGCTATGATCTGCCCGGCGCGTTTCAGAGAGAATTTGAAAGCCAGCTAATCTAAGCACGCTACACAAGTCTACATTCACCCACCCACCCACCTGGTATGGGCCCGACACCCAATCTGACACAGAGCTCGTCGCAGAAGTGGTTACAGTTTCGCCCGAGCATGTCATACGACTCGCCAGGCCACTGCACGCTCATCTCAGCTATGACCTGCCCGGCGCGTTTCGCACTGAGTTTAGTTTCCCCCATGTCGACTGTCTCCCTGTAGCTGTAGTAGGGGTTCGTTTTAGGGCGGCAGCTGAACACGCCTGACCCGCGCTCGCAGTATCCAAAGGACCATTCCTCTCCAAACACCTGGACGGAAGGGGTGGGGGGGGGGTGGCGAGAATAGAGGGAATGACTGCTCAACTTCGTGTCCCCCATGTCGACCGTCTCGCGGTACGTGTAGTAGGGGTTGGTCGCATGAGGTGGGTAAGGGAGGGAGAGACGGCTGAACACTGCTCAACTTCGTGCCCCCCATGTCGACTGTCTCGCGGTAGGTGTAGTAGGGGTTGGATTTCGGGCGGCAGGAAAACACCCCTGACCCGCGCTCGCAGTACCTGAACGACCATTACTCTCCAAACACCTGGAAGCAAGGGGGGAGAAGAAGGACGAGAGATGAAGGATCGGGACGAGTTGGTTTCGAGAAGCCTGAGAAACCAAGGAAATGGGACCAGATACAACTGAAGTCTGCTGAGCTTGGTCGCTGGAGGGAAGGGGGAGGGAAAGGGAGTAGGGAAAGGGAGGAGGGAAAGGGAGGAGGGAAAGGGAGGAGGGAAAGGGAGCAGGGAAAGGGAGGAGGGAAAGGGAGCAGGGAAAGGGAGGAGGGAAAGGGAGCAGGGAAAGGGAGGAGGGAAAGGGAGCAGGGAAATGGAGGAGGGAATGGGAGGGTAAAAACAGGAGTTGATGAGATGCATTGTCGCATCCTTCGGAAACAATGAGGTAACGGGTGAGGGTTGAGGGTTGAGGGAGAAGGGAGGGGAGAGGGGATGGGTTGGGGGATGGGGAGGGAGAGGGGGAGGGTGAGGGTGAGGGTGAGGGGGAAGGTGAGCAAGGAAGGTCGGGAACGCGTGAGCAATGCCGTATCGACCCGCAAAATTGAATTCTGAGCGAAGACAGTAACTTCAGCTGTTGGTAACAGCGCAGCAATTACACCACGCTTAACACAGCGCAACTACCGCTACCATGGCTTTTCAGGCACCTCAAAAATCTCCCAGTAGTTACAACAATGTGGTCCGGTACCTCAATAGCCCCATGGGTCGTGTTTTGAGTCGACTCAAAACACTTTTCAGGCACCTCAAAAATCTCCCAGTAGTTACAACAATGTGGTCCGGTACCTCAATAGCCCCATGGGTCGTGTTTTGAGTCGACTAAAAACACTTTTCAGGCGCCTCAAAAATCGTCTTTTGAGGCGACTAAAAAATCGGCCCCATGGAAGATCCCTCAACGGTACCAAACTCCGAGCGCGCTTCTAGCTATTAGCTACCGTTGATGCTCTCACCTCGACGGCGCCGTGGAAGATTCCTCCGATCCCCAGCGTGCTTCGCGCGACGCCGTTGATGCGAAGCACGGTGTTGTTGACGTTCGGGTCGGGGCTGTTGGTGACGTCGTACACGTGCAGTAGCACCTTCTTCTTGTCCGCCATGGCTGGACGAAACGACTCTAAGTTCGCTCAAGTTCGCCTACGTTCGCCTAAGTTCGCCGATGTCACAGATTCGCGTCGGGGCTGTTGGTGACGTCGTACACGTGCAGTAGCACCTTCTTCTTGTCCGCCATGGCTGGACGAAACGACTCTAAGTTCGCTCAAGTTCGCCTACGTTCGCCTAAGTTCGCCGATGTCACAGGTTCGCGTCGGGGCTGTTAGTGACGTCGTACACGTGCAGTAATACCTTCTTCTTGTCCGCCATGGCACGACGCGTCGTACACGCGATTCTTGAATCGGAAACGGCGGCTAAATGTGAGTTGTGAAACGGAAACAGCTAAAAGCGAGTTGTGAATCGACTCTAAGTTCGCTCTGCCACAGGTTGGGCGACGTCGTACACGTGCAGCAGTGCCTTCTTCTTGTCGGCCATGGCTGGACGAAACGGAAACGACTAACGGTGAGGCGAAAGTGAGACTAAACGTGGGTTTCGGTGTGGGTGACGTTGCACACGAGCAGCAACACCTTGCGATCAAGAGTGATGGAGAAGTGATGGACAAGTGATGTGACGGACTCGAAACTTGATGCCTACTTTACTATACTGTATGTGTCGATATGGCCGAGATGGTCTAAGGCGCTGGATTAAGGTTCCAGTCCGAAAGGGCGTGGGTTCAAATCCCACTGTCGACAGTAGGTTATTTTTTTTCCACTTCTCAATGTCATTTTGTCAACAGCTCCTCATCTCTGCTTGGCAAAAGGTAAAGCCTGATCATTACCAGGAGGGGCTTTTTCCTGCCTGTCTTGCACAATATCACTACTCTTTACCTGACAGCAAACAACTCAGACCAGGAGCACTGGACTGGACACACTCTTCACCTGTGCAGCAACAACTGTTTTCTATTAAGGTACTGTAATCTCTTGTTAAGACCATACATGGAGACATTCACTTCTAATCCTACGCCACACTGCCGTTATCCTTGGCCTGAAACCCTAGAGCAAGGCCGTTCATGCAATAACGAAGTCCAGTAGGCGCCGGGCCATCCTCAAACACATGCCCTAAGTGCCCTTGACACTGGGAACACCGCACTTCGGTCCGGTCAAACCCAAAATACGACCTATCAGGGAGCAGATCCACAGCTCCGGGCAGCACGTCGAAAAAACTCGGCCAGCCCGTGCCGCTCTCGAATTTGGTTTCCGAGTTGAAGAGGGGTGACCCGCACCCCCGGCAGGCGAAGGTTCCAGGACGCTTCTCGTACAGCAGGTCACTGGTAAAAGAGCGCTCCGTGCCGGCCTCCCTAAGGACGTAATATTCGCCAGGCGAGAGGATTTGCCGCCACTCCTCCTCCGTGTGCGACACGTTTCCTACTCGCAGCGCGATCCGCTGCTTCGGAGAGAGCGACGCCGGGTCGATGGTGCTGCTGGGGCCGGTTATGTTAACGGAATCGGCAAGATCGGAGGGGCTAGAGAACATGTAAGAGCCTAGACCGAGTCCTGCGGCGCCAAGTGCGGCGCTAGTGGCTACTATGAGCGTGATGGCGCCGCGACGGGTGGGAGATGAGTTAATCGGTATAGAGCCCTTAGGTCTGACGTCAGGCGCGAGGGACTGGAACTCGGATACGTCACCTGAAGCATCTGAGCCGTTTGATTTGCTAGATTTGCCGTCCCCGCCATCCAGATTGCAGCGAACCGACATAGGATTGCGCCACGTGGCATTTCGTCCAGCGGATTGAGAAGATAATCTCGAGAGGGGATTCCCGCTGGACGGGAGGAGGCTGTTACGAGGAGGTGCGGAGAGAGAGAGCGCTGCCATGAATCTGTAGCCTTGGAGTCGAAGCTTGTCAGTCAGAATTTGCTAAGTTTGCTAGCGCGCTGTCTTCTGGTTTTCAGCCTTACGCGATTTTAATAACTGGGGCTACGAGCTGTTCCTGCAGCGAAAGAACGAAACTGAAGCTTGTCTGTAAGACACTCTACCGTTGGGGACTGAAGCGGTCTGTTGTGCAGTATGCGGAATTATGAAGCCTGAATCCTAGTTTTATGCTGTTCGGTTAATGCTCATGCTCGAGCTGAATCGCAGGAATCCCAAGGCAAAGAAAGTGAACCACTGTAAAGTCCGGTACTGTGCGATTTAGGGCGGTCTCTCCGTGAACCCCTCGACATGCGTTGAAGGACAGACCTCGGCAGCATGCGCACCAGAGAACTCGTTGGAGGTCAGTCAGGAATCCGGATTCAGGAGGCCATGAAGTGACGGTGACAGACTGGGTTACGTCAGCGGGTTGTAATGCTGCCGCGTGTCCCTAGATGATTTGTTTCCCTGCTGGAAATAACGTGGCGCGGTGAGACCACTGATGATCCATGGGGAAAATATGCCACTCGTAATCAACAAGGGTCTCGATAATATGTTCGGTAAAACAATATCGGGTACGGTCACTGCAAAGGGTATTTTCACGTGTTTGATAAAACGTTTCACGGAATCAGGGTACGTTCTTGGCTGGTGTCTAGAATCTTGACACCAAGCTCTGAAAGGTTGGGATTTCGGTAGATTTTGACGATGGTGGCGTGGAATGATCAAAATCGTCCATTTGCCTTGTGTCAGCTAGCCTGACACCAGCCAAGAACATACCCTCAGTCACAATCAACTGGGAAAAAATATCGCGAATGGTCATAGATGAAACTTCCGCCCAAAAAGGTAATACCCAAAACGAACCTGGATGCATTTTCAGATGAATCAACCCTAAACACAACTCGCCATGTGTTTAGGGTTGATCCGTTCCCAAACCGCATCCGATTACGATTGGGTTTTAGTTTTTTTAGAAGTTAGCTGATTGGTTGGACGCGAGCAGGAATTTTGTTGAGTTTCAAGGTTTTTTGGTGGGAGTTACATGTGTGACCATTCGAGTGATTTTTTACCTGTTGTTAGTGACTGAATCCGTGACCCCACTTACCAAACCCGATACAGTGACCGTACGCGTTATTTTTTTACCATTCACGTTATCGAGTCCCATGTTGGTTACTTGTGACATATTTTCCCTGATCCATGTGCTGAACATAAGAGATGTACAACGCTACAAATACAAACCATAAGAGCTTATAGTGTTATGGTTAATAATATACGGGTGGAGTATATGGTACTCTGCTAATGCATAGCTCCACCTCAGGTCGTCAGCTATGAAAGCAATGAATAGCCCACTCCGTCAGCCTTGCCCTGGCGATGTCAACAAATCTCAGCGCAAGGGCAGCCAACAGGTGGTCGAAAATATCATCCGAGATTTTCGGGCAGCTCTACTTCGTGCTCCCGCGCGCCTCTTATGTGAAGCTCATGGGTGGGCTGTGGAGGGAAGGGGGGAGGCTGGGTTGGGTGGAGGTGGTTGGAGTGATGGGGTTGTTCCTGGTTGGTCTTCTAGCAGCTGCTTCTGGGACGTTCTATGCAATCAGAGGGATTACAGACGAGTGGTGATGGATGAGCCTCAGGGTCTTGGGTGGAGGCTGGGTTGGGTGGAGGTGGTGGGGGTGATGGGTTGTTCCTGATTGGCCTGCTGGCTGCTGCTTCTGGGACGTTCTATGCTATCAGAGGAATCACAGACGAGTGGTGATGGATGAATGTCAGGGTCTTGGGTACAAGCTGGGATGGAGGGAGGTGGTGGGGGTGATGGGGTTGTTCTTGGTTGGTCTGCTGGCTGCTGCCTCTGGGACCTTCTATGCTATCAGAGGAATTACAGACGAGTGGTGATGGATGAATGTCAGGGTCTTGGGTACAAGCTGGGATGGAGGGAGGTGGTGGGGGTGATGGGGTTGTTCTTGGTTGGTCTGCTGGCTGCTGCCTCTGGGACCTTCTATGCTATCAGAGGAATTACAGACGAGTGGTGATGGATGAATGTCAGGGTCTTGGGTACAAGCTGGGATGGAGGGAGGTGGTGGGGGTGATGGGGTTGTTCTTGGTTGGTCTGCTGGCTGCTGCCTCTGGGACCTTCTATGCTATCAGAGGAATTACAGACGAGTGGTGATGGATGAATGTCAGGGTCTTGGGTACAAGCTGGGATGGAGGGAGGTGGTGGGGGTGATGGGGTTGTTCTTGGTTGGTCTGCTGGCTGCTGCCTCTGGGACCTTCTATGCTATCAGAGGAATCACAGATGAGTGGTAGTAGACGAAGCTTCCTCTCGCGTTCCTTTCCGTCGTGCTCCCGTGCGCCTCTTATGTGAAGCTCATGGGTGGGCCGTGGAGGGGAGGGGGCAGGCTGGGGTGGGGGGAGGTGGTGGGCGTGATGGGGTTGTTCCTGATTGGTTTGCTGGCAGCTGCTTCTGTGCTGTCAGGGGGGGGATGGACGAATGGTGATGGGTGAATCATCCCACATTTTTGGCTTTACACTTTTGGGTGGGGATAGTGGCGATTTTGTTCATTGGCCTGGTTTTGGGGGATGGAGCTGTTGTGACTTGTTCCGGGTTTCAGCACTGGTGATGCAGCCGCACAACCCCTAAACCTTGGCTGCTGCTTGGTATGGGGCGGCCTGCCGGTGGTTCTTATGGGGGTTGTCGCTGTTGTGGCTTGCTTCGTGTTCCAACACTAATGATGGAGATGTACTCTGCTGGCTACTGGCAGGCCGACCCCAACAGATGTCGCTGGCTGGCTACTGCCAGGCACACTAATGATGCAGATGTACTCTGCTGGCTGACAGGTCTTTGCCAATGGCTCTTTTTGGGGATGGCTTGTGTGTCTCAACACTAGTGACGCATATGTACTCAGCACGTTTAAGGTCTTCACCTGTCTGATGGCTGCTCGGCGGGGGGGAGAGAAAAGGGAGGAGAGGAGAATGTCAGCGTGGTGGCTGCTGCTGCCTTTTGAATTCAGCCACACAGTTGCTGATACATTTTCCTTCTGATGTTGCTTATTGGGGGTGGTTGTATTGAATGGGATAGTCCATCCTATAGTGAATTGCGTTCGTGCCAAACTTCAGTCCAGTTTTCAGATTGCCCAAAGGCTCAGCATGATAGACCGAGTACGTCACTGGGGAGGGCACCACTGGGTGACATTTCCGATTTGTTGGCAACTACCGTAGGAGTTGCCTTTCTTCAACTCTATATACGGAACTGGAAGGTCTTTGTAGGACATGGCACCGAGATTTCAGTTCAGAATAGCATACCAATAGTACCGTATTGACAGCACGAGCACATGAAATGTCCGTGGCACCACCATTATGGCTCTCGACATGTGCATTGCTTCACGGGCATTACAAAATCACGTCCTGCAGCAAGCAACCCCACTACTCCTGCCCACTTCCCAGCACTAACACAGCATCGAGGCAATGCTGCTTGAGCAGGGAATCACACAGGCTAGTAAAAGCCAGCTGGGGGCCGGAAGAGCCTAGCCTCATATGCCTAAGCCCTCCAGGCAACGCACTTGCTGGGCTTGAGCGAGTCACTGTCCCCCTTCTGCAGGGTCTTGGGCAGGATGACGTCATCCACCCCATGCACCTGCACCACTCGGATTGAGATGGCGTCAGCAGCCACCACAGAAGCTTCCTGCGGGCCGTCCTTGGCCTGCACCTCGAGTGGCTGGACGCCGCGAGGTGACACCTTCACCAGACGAGCCTTGCACCCGCCCGCTGCAGCCTTGAGCTGAAATTAGGGAGGAGAGAAGGCGAGCATAGTATGTGGATGGTTTAGGTGCGGGGTCACACGATGGGATGATCGGGTTGTTGCGGCGTCACTTGGCGATGCATGACGCGGATGAATGGGCATGTGAAAGCAGAAGTAACACATCACGCCATCACCCCAGGCGCCCAACCAAGACGATGCCTCATTTTTCAGGCGCCTAAAGTTCAGACGCCTCAACTAGTCAGGCGCCTCAAAAACAACATTTTTAGGCGCCTCAAACTCAACCACCCCCAGGACACCCCACATTCAAGCTATCATCATCTCTCACCTGCTTTCCCTGGGGCAGCGCCATGAGCGCAGCAGCAGTAAGTTTCTTCTGCACCACGTGCAGCAGCAGCACCTCGCGAAGCACCTTGTCGTCTTTGATCGCCTTCTTCGTGTCGTTCGAGAGCTCTTCAAACGCCGCGTCGGTGGGGGCAAAGAGCGTCGCCTCGTAGCAGCTGAAGAGATCCGCAAGGTCCTCGTCTAGGTCTGATTTGTTTTTGTGAAATTTCAAGAACGAGAAAGGGTAATAAGTGAGGGACAGACGACGCGTCGATGGGAGACTTGGGACTAAATTACATGGGATACGACAAACGAGATTCTCGTTGCTACACCAACGAACGGCGGGCTTTGTGTCTCTTTGAGGGAAATTGAAATCCGCGGCGGAATATAGCGCAGATTTAAAAGATTACGTCATTTGTACCTGTCGTCTTGAGAGCGGAAATCAGCGTGGAGTAGTTCCCGGCCGCCGTGAGCTCCTTCATGAGGTTGCTCACCACCAGCTTCCCGTCGAAGCGGCAGTACGGGCGGTTCCGCGCAGCCTCGGAAGGTGAAAGAAAGATGGCAAAGACTGCCGCCAGCAGCAACACGGCGAAGCACGACACCCTAGAAGAAGCCATATTGCGGAAGAGGGAGAATACGGCGGAATATTGAAATGGAATGAAGTCGAGTTGATTTCTACAAAACTTAATCGGCGCAGTGTCTGGAACCGTAGAAAACGAGCGGATAAAGGGAGAAATTACCAGTGGCAACTGAAGTGAGGAAGCAGATTGTAAGGAAAGTGATGAGGAGGCAACGCCAGGGGAGCGAATTTATGCAAAGCTGGTTGGAATTGGAAGGATGTGGAACATTGGCAAATTGGGAATTCGAATGCGGTTCGGCAAGTGGAGAATGCGGCTCGCGTGAAGCGGCTCGCACCGCAGCATCTTCCCCAGATCACTCCACTTGGAAGCGGGGTTACCGCGCCGTCAAGTAAATGGAGCGCAGGAAACGGCCGTCAACAAAATCTGGCCAATCAAAGTGCTCGAAAGTGGTGTGCCAAAACCCTGGTCGGTGTCTGACCTTCGTCATTCCTTCCTTGCTCACAATGACCGACGCACCAAGCGCGTCTGATTGGCTTAGGCGGGAACCTCGCACGCGGGAATGTCCATAAGGCTTGCGTTGCGAGTTTTTGCTGCAATTGTGCTGCATTACACAGGAGGCAAGGATTTGCTTTGCAGTATGACCAAGAGATACTGATAAACAAAAACACTTTCAAGGTGCATGATGATAAGTGTGATAACAAAATACCCTGAAACTGCAAAGTGTACCTCCACCTCTCCGTGGTAAGGTATTATCTTGGTGGCGTTCACCCAGTCATGCAGCCTTAAGAGAAATCGGAGGAGACAAAGGGCATGCCACTGTCTATTACCTAAAGTAGTCATTCAAAAGACTCTGTATGTCAGTGACGGGCAGTTCAGCAGCACCACCACCACCCTGCCCCCCGGCGATCAGCGCCCGAATTATGCCCCACACTATGGGCTGGTTGATTTGAGTCCCCACTTCAAGGCACCACCCCTCAAGCTCACATCAGTGCACCAACTCCCTTGCATACATATGAGCCATTTCCTCCACATCCCCATCAACCACCACCCCTTCCTCCTCCTCCGCCTCTCTCACCAGCTCTGCAGCCACAGCACCCTGCCCCCCTGCCACCAGCGCCCGAACCATGCCCCGCACTATGGGTGGGTTGAGTTGAGCCCGCACGACAAGGCACCATCCCCTCAAGCTCACATCAATGCACCAGCTCCCTTGCATGCATCTGAGCCATTTCCTTCACATCCCCATCAACCACCACCCCTTCCTCCTCCTCTGCCTCTCTAACCAAGTCTGCAGCAGCAGCACCCTGCCACTCTAAGGCACCATCCCTCAAGCTCACATCAATGCACCAGCTCCCTTGCATGCATCTGAGCCATCTTCTTCACATCCCCATCAACCACCACCCCTTCATCCTCCTCTGCCTCTCTCACCAAGTCTGCAGCAACAACACCCTGCCCCCCAGCCACTAGCGCCCGAACCATGCCCCGGACTATGGGTGGGTTGAGAGTCCACCCCAACACCTGCATCGTCTTCCGAACCTGCAACAGAGGTTCGGAAGGAACGAACACAAGCGAGGAGCACTAGTTGAGGGACAATGCGGGTAGACTAAAGCGGCATGTAAAGTGTATGTTCTTGCAACTTGTAATCAGTCCATCTACAAGTCAAAGCATCTGAAATCACCTTAAGGCACCTGAAAGCTCACCTGGGAACAGGTCTTCATTGACAACTCGCACCTCAAAGTTTATCTGGGAACACCTGAAAGCTCGGCTGGGAGCACCTGACAGCTCACCCGAAAGCACCTGAAGTCTCAGCAGGGAGCACCTGAAAGCTCACCTGAAGGCACCCGTCAGCTTCCGAAATCCACCTGAAAGCTTACCTGGAAGCACCTGAAAGCTCACCTGAAGGCACGTGTAAGCTCACCTGAAACCACCTGAAATCTCACCTGGGAGCATCTGAAAGCTCACCTGGGCGCAGCTGTCCAAGTCCCCTGCAAGCGCGTAGGCCTGAAACAGGCGAGTATATGTTCGGGCATTGGGCTGCAGTCCCACCCTCTGCATCTCCTCAAACACCTCCGCTGCCTCCCTCACTGTAAGACAGGAAAGAAGATTCAGCGAATATAAGAGGGAAGGGGGAAAGGGTGCGGCAGGGAACATGAACGATTGCGTTGGGCTGCAGTCCCACCCTCTGCATCTCCTCAAACACCTCCGCTGCCTCCCTCACTGCGAGGAAAGGGGGTGAGAGGGTGGCAGTATGTAAGGACGATTCAAGAGCGACAGGGAAAGGATGAGGCCAGGATAAGACAGTGTAGTCAAGGAATCGGGGCTGTAGCCCCACCCTCTGCATCTCCTCAAACACCTCCGCTGCCTCCCTCACTGCACCGGGGAAAGAAACAGGGGAGAGTGAGACAAGAGCGGTGTAGGTAGGTCTCCGTGCCTGGCCTCATGCCCGCTCCCTCCAGCTCCAGCACCAGCTTTACCATGCCAGTGCAGATTGACTAGCACACAGTGCATGGGCGGACTACACCAATCTGAGAGACAGTTGGACTTTTGAGTCGACTCAAAACTCACCTTAGCACACAGTGCATGGGCGGACTACACCAATCTGAGAGACAGTTGGACTTTTAGGTCGACTCAAAACTCACCTTAGCACACAGTGCATGGGCGGACTACACCAATCTGAGAGACAGTTGGACTTTTAGGTCGACTCAAAACTCACCTTAGCACACAGTGCATGGGCGGACTACACCAATCTGAGAGACAGTTGGACTTTTAGGTCGACTCAAAACTCACCTTAGCACACAGTGCATGGGCTGACTACACCAATCTGAGAGACAGTTGGACTTTTAGATCGACTCAAAACTCACCTTAGCACACAGTGCATGGGCGGACTACACCAATCTGAGAGACAGTTGGACTTTTAGATCGACTCAAAACTCACCTTAGCACACAGTGCATGGGCGGACTACACCAATCTGAGAGACAGTTGGGTGGAGGGGAGACAAGAGAGACTCACCCAACCCGTGGCTGGCAAACAATGAGATGAGAGCGGTGTAGGTCTCCACGCCTGGCCTGATGCCCGCTCCTTTCGTCTCCAACACCAGCTTCACTGCCTGCATGCACCTCAGCTTCTCCTCCTCACCTCAGAGACAGACGGGTTCACAACCCCCCCACTCACCAGCACTTTATCATTCACCCTCTGAGTGTCGTCAGCTTCACAGCCTGCCGGCACCTCAGCCTCTCCTCAACTTAGAGACAGATGGGTGGAGGGGAGAAAGCAGCAACTCACCAAGGCCATGGCTGGCAAACAGTGAGATGAGAGCGGTGTAGGTCTCCACGCCTGGCCTGATACCCGCCCCCTCCAGCTCCAACACCAGCTTCACTGTGCCAGTGCAGATTGACTGACATACTCAACGGGGATCCAACAAAGAGACAGACAGGAGGAGGGGAGAGAAGAGACTCACCAAGGCCGTGGCTGGCAAAGAGGGAGATGAGAGCGGTGTAGGTCTCCACGCCTGGCCTGATACCCGCTGCTTCCAACTCCAGGCTCCAGCACCAGCTGCACATTGCCTGCTCCCCTTCCAGCTCCAGCACCAGCTTCACCGTGCCAGTGAGTGCACAAAGACCAATGCACACAGTGCGGCTTCAACTAACAGACAGTCAGGTGGAGGGGAGAGAGAAGAGACACTCACCAAGGCCGTGGCTGGCAAAGAGGGAGATGAGAGCAGTGTAGGTCTCCACGCCTGGCCTGATGCCCGCCCCCTCCAGCTCCAACACCAGCTTCACCGCCTGCCGGCACCTCAGCTTCTCCTCCTCACTCGCCTCCCTCCTCCCAACCCCGGCCCCCTCCTCCCCCCTCCGCTGCCCCTCCTCCTCCTCTTTCTCTTCCCCTCTCCTCTTCTCCCCTCCCTCCTCTCCTCCTTCCGCTCCTCCCTCCTTTCCTCCCTCCGCTCCTTTACCAGCCAGAAGTGCCAGCTGTCGGTCCAGCTGTCTTTCCATGCTGCCATGGGCCTCCACCAGCCGAGCCATAGAGCGGTCATCAGGGGCCAGCCCCGCAGCCAGCATGCGCTTGAACGCTGCCACTGCCTCGTCTGTGCGCCCGTTCAGGCCGAAGGCAGCTGACAGCGCTGTGAACACATGGCAGTCTGGCTTTATGTCGGTCTGGGCCTGCAGCACGGGGAAACAGCGAGGTGGGAGGGGATAATGAGAGAGGTCATCAGGGGCCAGCCCCGCAGCCAGCATGCGCTTGAACGCTGCTACTGCCGAAGGCTGCTGACAGCGCTGTGAACACATGGCAGTCCGGTTTTATGTCGGTCTGGGCCTGTGATTGAGAAGGGCAAGGAGTGGGGGGCGGGGTTTGGGAAGCAGTGGGGGAAGCGGTGGGGGATGAGGTGTGGAAAGGGTGGGGGACGGGGTTACGGAGAGATGGAAGGGAGAAGGGAGAGAGCAGGTACTCAGCCCGCTAAGTAGTATGTGATGAGTCGGTTTGTGAGTCGACTGAAGAAGGAAGAAGGGAGAGAGCAGGTACTCAGCCTGCTAAGCAGCACGCATGCACTTAGTCTCTCATACCCACGGGTTCACTCGCCAGTCACTCACCAGTCATTAGTCTCTCATACCCACGGGTTCACTCGCCAGTCACTCACCAGTCATTAGTCTCTCATACCCACGGGTTCACTCGCCAGTCACTCACCAGTCACCCACTTACCCACCCACTCACCACCCACCCACCAGTCACCCACCCACCAGTCACCCACTTACCCACCCACTCACCAGTCACCCACTTACCCACCCACTCACCAGTCACCCACTCACCACCCACCCACCAGTCACCCACCCACCAGTCACCCACTTACCCACCCACTCACCAGTCACCCACTTACCCACCCACTCACCAGTCACCCACTCACCACCCACCCACCAGTCACCCACTTACCCACCCACTCACCAGCACTTTATCGAAGACCCTCTGAGCGTCGTCAGGCCGGCTGGCCCATAGGCGGCTGCCCACACTTTCTCCCCTGTACAACCAGCCCCTACAGATTCACTCACCAGCACTTTGTCAAACACCCTCTGGGCGTCGTCAGGGCGACCGGCCAGCCCAAACGCGGTAACCAGCGAACACAGAGTGACAGGAGAAGGCTTGCAGGCAGCAGCGAGCATGGCGTCTAGCAGCTGCTCCCACAAGGTTACTCACCACTCACTCACCATGCACTTACAGAACATGCACCAGCCAGCCACTCACCAGCACTTTGTCAAACACCCTCTGGGCGTCGTCAGGGCGACCGGCCAGCCCGAAGGCGGTAACCAGCGAGCAGAGAGTGACAGGAGAGGGCTTGCAGGCAGCAGCGAGCATGGCGTCTAGCAGCTCTTCTGCCTTGCCTGGCTGCCCCGCCTTGCCATAGACGGTCATCATGGTGGTGTATGCCTTGGCATCGGGTGTTATGCCACGCAGCCTCATTTCTTCCCACGCCGCCTCTGCCTTTTCCACCTGTAATAAATAGCAGGTGTGGGCGGGCGGACGGGTAGGTGGGAGGGTTGAGAGTAAATATGAGTCCAGTGCACACAGTAAGCACTTGTCGAGCTGCCCCGCCTTGCCATAGGCGGTCATCATGGTGGTGTATGCCTTGGCGTTGGGGGTTATGCCTCGTAGTCGCATCTCCTCCCACGCAGCTTCTGCCTTCTCCACCTGCCACACAGAAACGGGTCAGTGTGTGCAGGTTGGTGGGTGGGTGGGTCAGTGCATACAGCACTCTCATCATGGTGGTGTGTGCCTTGGCGTCGGGGGTTATGCCTCGTAGCCTCATCTCCTCCCACGCTGCTTCTGCCTCTCCACATGCCACACACGGTTGGGTTGGGGAGTGGGTGGGTTAGTGATAATTGCACTCATGACCCGCCTTGCCATAGACGGTCATCATGGTGGTGTATGCCTTGGCGTCGGGGGTTATGCCTCGCAGCCTCATCTCCTCCCATGCCGGAGATCTTCACAGAGAAGGAGATCAAATCCGGAGCTATCCCATCCGCCTCCATGCCTGTGATGTGAACGCCCACCTGAGTAGGCACCTAAAGACCAACCTATTCAGCAACAAAACCACACCTGCTTGGCATCACGCAATTCATGCATGCATATAATTATCCTATGCTAGAAATAGCATGATAAAGTAAAGGCAAGCAAGCATAGCTGGCATAAGCCGTCGTACTCTCACACGTCCCCCCCTCAAAGCTGGGTGGCGTGAGATACACCCTGCTTGACAAGATAGTCCTTGAGAGCACGGCGTGCGTTGCTCATATCAGCGTCTGCAACCCAACTGTCCTCAGTGGGGTCGTATCCCTTCCAGCGTATCAGGAACTCGAGGGACTTGCCGCCGCGGCGTCGATGAGAGAGAACGCGCTCCACTTCATACTCAGGTTCATCCTGTACGAGAACAGGTGGTGGTGGCGGGAGCTGCCGTCCCTGGAACTGTTGGTTGGGATCCTTGTAGGGTTTCAGTAGCTGGACATGGAAAGCATTGTGAAGCTTCCACGTATCTGGTAAGCGCAAGCGGAGTGTAACTGGTGTCACCTGTGCCTCCACGAGAAAAGGACCACAGAAGCGAGGCCGAAGTTTGGATGGGAGGTGAGACAGGTTTAAGTTGCGTGTGTCAAGAAGCACCTGATCTCCGACTGCTACTGTGTGATCTCGTCGCTGACGATTGGCATACTGCTTCTGGGAGTTTTGCATCGTGGTGAGACGTCGCTGAGTCTTCTCCCATAGCTGCTGCATGGTGGTGACGAAGTCATGTGCGGCTTGGACGTGTGCCGGTGTGGTTGGCTGTTGTGGTGTAAGTGGTTCTCGTCCGTAACACAGGAAGAAAGGAGTTTTCCCTGTGGCCGCATGTGATGCGTTATTGTAAGCGAACTCTAGGGTCGGTAACTGTGTGTCCCAGTGGCTGACGTCGTCCTTGCAAGCTGTGCGTAATAACTGTTCAACCACTTGATTGAGTCGCTCGGTCTGTCCGTCAGTCTGTGGGTGGTATGCTGAGGACATCGCAAGTTTAGTCCCCAATAATCCCATGAGCTCCTTCCAGAACTTACTCGTGAATTTGGGGTCTCTGTCTGAGATGAGTGTAGCGGGGATGCCGTGGATGGTGATGATGCGGTCGAAGAAGTGGCGAGCAGTTGCTTCAGCTGTGGCGGTGGCGTTGGTCGGTATGAAGTGACCCATTTTGGAGAACTTATCGATGACTACGAGGATGGAATCATGTCCCCGTGAGGTCGAGGGAAGTCCTGTGATGAAGTCGAGACTAACGACCTGCCATGGCTGCTCCGGTACGGGTAAAGGCTGAAGTAACCCTGCTTTTTTCTGTTTGCTGCTCTTCATCCGCTGGCACGTGTCGCAGGAGGTGACGAACTGCTGCACGTCTGCTGCCATCCGAGGCCAGTAGTAATACTTTGCTATTCCCGCTAACGTCTTGTTGCTCCCGAAGTGTCCCGCGTATGGTACGTCGTGAAATTCCTCCAATAGGATCTGCCGTAGCAGGGCGTAATTCGGTACCCAAATCTTTCCTGAACCCTTCCTTACAGCTAAGTCTTTCTCCCACTGTAACAACTTCTTAGTCTGTGCTGTAGCGATCTTTGCGTCCACGGAGTACCCATGTTGGAATAGACCCTTGAGCAGAGGGTTCATCCCATCGAGCTGGATGCTTGCTACATGACCGGGGCGGCTCAACGCGTCTACTTTGTTGCAGTCTACGGTCTCCGCCAGGCACCCCGTGAGTGGCACGACACACTGAGGACGACTCTTGCTGCTCTTGGGTTTGCTCCTTCTACTGCTGACCCGTCGCTGTTTCTACGCACCGACACCACTCTGCCGCCGTTCTACGTTCTCGTGTACGTAGACGACTTGGTCTTTGCTACTGCTGACACTGAGGCACTCGCCCACGTGAAGTCGGAGCTGCAGAAGAGACACACGTGCACAGACCTGGGTGAGCTGACAAGCTATCTTGGCTTGCGGATCACCCGGGACAGAGCACAGCGCACCATTACCTTGACTCAGTCACACATGGTGCAGCAGGTCCTTCAGCGCTTCCGCTTCACGTACTCCTCGCCACAGTCCACTCCTCTGCCTACCGGTCACTCGCTCTCAGCTCCACCTTCGGACGAGTCCGTAGAGCCGAGTGGCCCGTATCCAGAGCTTGTGGGCTGCCTCATGTACCTGATGACCTGCACTCGACCTGACCTAGCCTACCCTCTTAGCATCCTAGCACGCTATGTCGCTCCTCGCCGACACAGGAAGGAGCACATGGATGCTGCTAAGAGGGTGTTGCGCTACTTGTGCAGTACGTCGGGCATGGGGCTCGTGCTTGGAGGGCGACGTCCAGTTGTCCTCACTGGTCACGCTGACACTTCTTGGGCTGACGACTTGGCTACGCAGCGGTCGTCGCAGGGTTACACCTTCAGCCTTGGCTCCGGCTCTGTTTCTTGGCGGTCTACCCGCTCGTTGTAAGTCGACAACAAGGCCGCCATTGCCTTGTGTCAGGAGCACAGACTGGAGCACAGAACGAAGCACATCGCTCTGCGCTACTTCCTTGCTCGAGAGTTGCAGCAGCGTGGTCAGCTTCGTCTTGCTTACGTGGCCACTCGGGCCAACACTGCTGATGTGTTCACCAAGGCGCTTCAGCCTTGTGATCATCAGCGTTTCTGTACTGTTCTAGGCCTTGTGCCTACTGTGCCTCACTTGCTTACTTCTTGACTCTGATTGTACTGTGATCTCTATACATATACCTGCATGCTTACACTTGCTAGGTTGTGATCACTTTACCTCTTGTTATAATATCAAACTGCATGTGAACTGGTCTTGTGACCGCTTGCTTGTGCTCGGAATTTGTGTGGTATCCTTGAGATCCACCCTGAGCTTACTTTGCTTTTCTTGACTGGTCTTGTGACCTCTTGTTCTCCCCCACTTTGCCTATGGGGGTGTGTCAAACTCATGTTATAGCCTGTTTAGGCTGTAGTGGGTTAGACAATAGGGGGTACAACATTTCTAGGTTTCCCTGTTTGTACCCATCTCATTTCTAGTCATTTCCATTCCTCGTTATTATTCTCACAGTTGTTAGAAAAAGTGCGTCATCGTTTAACTCGACGACATCCTGGTTTACACCCGCGACAAGCAGCAGTACTGAGACGACTTGGAAGCAGTGTTTAAATTTTTAGACAAGCATCGACTGCTGACGAAAGGTTCCAAGTGTGAGTTTTTTTAGAACCGCATAGAATTTTGAAACACGTCATTTCGAAGGCTAGAGTTGATATTGACCCAAAATAGTTAGACACTGTCAAAGCGTAGCACCCCCCGACAAACATCACGAAACAACAAGGTTTTTTTGTTTGTTTTTTTTTTGTTTTGAAACTTGTTTTTGATTTTTTTTTTTTGCGTTTGTTAATTATGTGTGTCACTTCATCCCCGACATGGCACGATTGACGCTCCCACTGACGGACTTGCTACGGAAGGGAGTCGCTTTCATGTGGGGTAGAAAAGTGCGTGCTGCCTTCTCTTCCCTGAGAAAAGTTTTGTGTTCACTGCCTATGTTACGCATCACCGACCCACACCGCCCATTCAAAGTGGTTACCGAGACCAGCGATATCGTCATTGGACGTGTACTACTATAGGACTTCTGCGATGGCCTGCAACCCATCGCATACAAGTCACGAAAACTTCATATGCTCGAGAAGAATTACCCGATACACGACCACGAAATGCTTGCAATCGTGCATGCATTCAAAGTATGGCACTATTACTTGACCGGCGCAGATGTGACAGTAAGGACAAACCACCACTCGATACAGTACCTTCGCGTGCAACCCCACCTCTACCCACGTCAGATACACTGGCTTGAGTCATATGTAGTCGGGTTTTTATTAAACGGTCACCTTCAACACCGCCGACGAACTGAACCGCCTGACTGCCCGGATACACGCGATACTACTTGCCCAGATCAACCCACTACTCACGAGGCTATTTACCTACAGGTACCAAACAAACTCATTCTTCATCGGTGGAAAGTAGCAGCAGTTTGCAGCAGCACGAGGGGTGTATTACGTAAAAGCCGACATTGATCGCATCTGGGTACCGAGCTACATCCTACTTCGGGAACTACTACTACGTGACGCACACGACAGGATCACCTTAGGACATTTTGGGGTAAGAAAATACACGACAGCAGCTACAACGGTACTATTACTGGCCTAAGGTGTGAACGACGTACAGCGACATTTGACATCGAGTCCCACCTGCCAACTCATGATGTCCTCGCGGTAGCAACCGGTAGGACAATTACAACCGATACCACCCCAAGAGCGTGCTTGGTAGCAGGTGACGATGAACTTCGTCACAGGGTTACTAGCAAAGGCAAGTGGGAGATGCGATCCTCGTGGTCGTCGATAGGCTGACAAAAGTGGCCCATTATGCACCTACAAAAAAGCAGTCTCAACCAAAGAAACAGCCCGACTCTTCATCGACACTATCGTTCGACTGCACGGAATACCAGCGACGATCATCAACGACCGCGACACAACATTCACGTGCTACGATCCAGCAATCTGGGAGCAGCAATTGCCACTCATCAAGTTTGCGTACAATAACTCCACATCAGCGACCACCCAACAATCCTCGTTCTACCTCAATTACGGACAAAACCTAACAATACTTTTGACATCGAATCCCGAAAACCCTAGGTTTGACAATACCACATGCACAACAGTTCGCCGAGGTTTTACCAGCAGCCCGGACCCTAGCAAAAATTGCGATGAAAATTTATCAAATAACTTCGGTAGGCACAACGCCGATCGTCACCGTCTCCCCTTTACTTACCAACCTGACGACCTCGTGTTACTTGACACTTAGAACCTATGCCT